TGCACTGTCCCTTTAAGTGGATTAAATAAATATTTTTTTATTATAATTATGATATGATATGATAATTTGACCGCCCTGACACATCCTATGTACACTGCGGTTGTCATTATTGGTGATAATTCATATACATAAAACGAGGGATTAGTGGTGACAACTATACAGCGTTCCAGTGGGGACAAATGAATGATCAGTGAATGAGGATATTAGGAAATAGTAATGTATGGAGTTGACACTTGGTTGCAACTAAAGTGTCAGCGAGACCCCAGCTTTCCATTCCAGACAGCCCAGTGGTTGAGCTCCTATATTATGCAAAGTTTAATGGCTTTTAATCAATGGAACGCTGCTGATAATATGCACATATTAACAATAAATGGCAGTAATTAAGATTACTTGTGGATGTGGAATAGAGCTTCTTTGAAATGACAGATCCGAGAGAGATTAGATCTGACTTCCCATTCACACACACAGGCTGGCTATACAAACACACCGAGAAGTCGGATTGTTTGCTGGGTGCTCGCTGTCAACAGTAAACATTTTAACAATACTGTTTAGACAACAGCATACATTTCAATGTGTGGATGGGGAGCTCTTGGCTTGCCAGGGATAAGCCAGCACTGAAATGTGTCTCCCAACTTGTCAGCTTGTAAAAGTTAATTATATCTAGGAACTTTCTAAATATGATGACTGTGATGACGAGGAGAGATCCTGCAAAATATTCATATATACTGTAAACTCTAACAACTACTCTGCCCTGCTTCTATACCCTGTGCATTAAACAGGAACTCACATGTGGCCCTTTATCACCTCTATGTTACTCAAAGACATATAGCAACTTACTGTATCCATGTCTTGTTGTTATGTATGTTTGCACTCAACTTTAAAATAAATACATTCTTGCATACCCTATGTGTATCTGTATGTGTGTGTAAAAAAGCAGTTTAAATGTAAAAAAAATGTCATTCTCTACCCCAAGCCACGTTTCAATCACACAGTTGGAGAAATGTGTCAGCCCCAGTACCTACCCTTTGAGCCATCGGCCTTCCTAACTCCTTCCTACTTCACTTTGAAATATATCCTATTTAAGGAAAAAAAAAATCTTCAGCTTGTTGGAGCTCCTTGAAAGAGCCAAATAATTCAGCATTGAAATCTTTCCAAAGACCCAGAGTGAAATATTTTTTTTTATTTTTTTTTACCCCCCCCTTCTTCTTCTTTTCCTTTTCAAAATGAGTTTTTAAAAGTAGCCCTGGAAGCCAGCTAGCGAAAGTCTCATGGCTCTCTGCCACTTCAGCTGTCAATCATAGGTGAAGCTTGTCAAAGGTGCTGAATGAATGATGATCCACTGGGCGATCTGCACCGGTCAGAAGCCCTGAAAATAGTGTCCAGATGCAAAATGCAGAAGGCTCAGCAGCTCCCTTCTTCCTTTAGTCAATGTGCAGCCTGCTTCTCTCTCTCTCTTCTCTAGCTCTCTCTCTCTCCCTCTGTGTGCACTGGAGATGGAGAGAGGGGGAGAGAGAGGAAATGTCTGAGTTCGCCTTAAAGAAGCCCCGATCGATGCTGCTCGCTCCCAGCCCCGCCGCGCGTGTGATGTGTGTGCTGCACAGGCGGAGAGCTGGGTTTGGACCAGAATGCTGGAACCCGGAAGTAGTGGTG